CAGACTCTGTGAGTTGTAGGCTTATCTTTCATCATGTTTTAAACAACAGGGCTGCACTGTCCGGGGGACATGGGGGAGGGCCTAGTACATGGTGGGTGGTGCCATCCCTGGGCTGGAGGCACCCTGGTTCCTGGGTTCTAAGAGAATGCAGGCTGATCAAGCCATGGGAAGCCAGTAAGTCAGTAAGCAGCACCACGCCATGGCTTCTGCATCTGCTCCTACCTCCAGGTTCCTGTCCTGTTTGAGTTCCTGTCCTGACTTCCTTTGGTGATGAACAGTAATGGTGAAGGGGAAGCCAAATAAAACATTTGCTCCCCAACTTGTTTTTTGGTAATGGTCTTTCATCACAGCAACATAAGCCCTAACTAAGACAAGGGTCTTTTTGTAAACTTTTTGAGACAGGGTCTCACCTTGTAACTCTGTCTGAACTTGAAACCTCAATATAGAGCAGGTTGTTTTTAAACTCACAACAATCCACCTGCCTCTGCCTATGAAGTGCTCGGATTAAAGGAATGTGTCACCACAAGCAACTAATATCAGAGTCTTTTTCTTCCAGGTGTTTACATGGAGAAGCCATCTCTTACTGTTGATTCAGGACCTCAGGGATTCTCAGAAATCAATGCAACTCTCCACTGCCACACACATGGTTCCTTTAATATCTTCATCCTCTGCAGAGATGGAAATGCTTCCTTTCCCCAGAACTGCTCACGGCAGGACCACAATACATTCCTTATCTCCCCTGTGAGCCCAGGGCACAGGAGGACCTACAGATGCTTTGGCTCTAAAAAACACAATTCCTACTTGTGGTCACTGCCTAGTGATCCCCTTGAGTTTTCAATCCCAGGTAAGTATGTCTGATTCTTGTTCCTTATCTCTGTGCTTAGAGAGTCCTCAAGTGATGCCATGTGAGATATGCCAATTCCACTGCATGTCTCCTGTGTGCTGTGTGTTGCACACCACACTGCTATTCTTACTGCAATTGCTCCATTGCATTATGGACTCTTTACATTATGTGTTAATTATATTATTTTGGGGTAGATACAAGAATCTTCATCTGGGGACTAGAAGTCCTTACCTATCCATAATGAGAACCTTCCTGAAAGATGGTGTTCCATTTGATTGCTGACTGTTATCCTCCCATGTTGCTTTCTGAGTTGTGTGTGTGATAAATACATCACTATCCAACAGGACAGAACAATTGGAATATATCTCCTAGTTTCTCCATTGAAGGTGTTTTTTTAGATTTCAAGAGATCATCTGTTTTTTCTTTTACCTTTTAGATTATGATATAATATGTCATTTCATCCCTCCTTTTTCTTCCTCTAAACCCTCCCCTGTACCCCCTTGTTCTCTTCAAATCCATGGCTTCCTTTTACATTAATTGTTGCTACATGCATATATGTATATGTATATCCATGTATATATTTCTAATATACTCTCCTTAGTCTGTATAATGTTGTTGTATGTTTTCAGAGCTGACCATTTGGCATTGGATAACCTATTGGTGTTCTCCTCCCTGGGGAAGACCATTTCTTCCACTCTCAGGATTCCTTTTCCTTGTAGTTATTTATGTAGGGTCGAGGCCCCATGGTCTTTCTCCCATCCACTTTCGCATGACTGTTTTGTTGTCCTTGTCCAGCTCATGTTTAAGCAGTAATGTTGGTGAAACTTTATGTGTGTTGCCTCTGACAGTAGTAGGAGACAAAGTCTCACAACAAACTCCCTCATGCTTTGTTTCTTTCAATCTTTCCTCCCCCTCTATTACAATGTAGGAGTAGTTGTGTAGATGCATTGCAACTGACCTGCACAACTCTGCATTTTGGTTTGTTGTGTTTGTAGTGGTGTATATGATGTGATGTGATGTGATGTGATGTGATGTGGTGATGTGATGTGATGTGATGATGTGATGTGATGTGATGTGATGTGTAATGGTCTTCTTCTGTTGTGTCATGAGGTTTCCTTGGTGAGGGACGAGTACTACTCTTATCTGTCCCACCAGCCTTTGTCATCAGAGTGCCCCCTCTGAACAGCCATCAGTCCAGTGGAGAATGCAGGAAACATTAACAGTAGAGAATTCTGAAACAGCAGTGCCAGATTTCTTGGTGGAGGGGACTTATTTCTTTATATCTTAGAACTTCTGGTCCTTAGGAATGTCTTGGGGTTTTAAGAGTTGGGACATGTTTCAGGTGTGGGGAACAAAGGGCACAGGGCCATGGAACTTCCAGTTGGGAACATAGTTGAGATAGAAAACTTGTGATAGAAAACATCAAGTGTGCATGGGTTAAAGATGGGAAGATGTACATGAGGAGGCAGGGGGAAGAAATCCCGTGTAGCGTAGAAAATGGGATGGCCCATGATGAGCTTTTATGTGAGCAGGTGGCATGCAGGAGTGTTGGTAGGGTCTGCTCATACTTAGACATCCACTTCTATGCAACATTTGATGATGGATTTTAATTTTACTGCTGCAGCTGAGAAATCCTGTATGATGTTCAGAACTATATATCCAATGGGATATTTGAAATTTATCTTTGCACACATTTATCACACATCTCAACAAAGCCCCAGATTGGAAAGCATCCTTGCATTCTCCTCACATAAGTCCTTGTATCAACAGAGAGTGCATCTGTCCCCTTTGAACCAGAATTCTTCAGGGTCCTCTTTTTCCCTCAGTTCTCACATGGCTCAGTATCAAACTCTCATTTGTGTCCTGAAAACACTTTCCAAGTCTTGTTCCTTCTTTGTTACATCATCTCTGTCACCCCAAGATCACCTTTCACCCAGACTTCTTATTATTTTTCTTCTTTCTACCTGATATTTTATATCTGTTCATCCCACAGAAAATTCACATCAAACATTTTTGTAAGTTTCTATCCATTGCACAAAGTGATGAGTTTACAATGACATGTTCCTCAGGTACATCCTGTACTGTGACCATATTCACCTCTGTTACTCTTTTGCATCTGTTCTCACTCCCACCAGTCTTCAATTCTAACCTAGTCTCTTTTCTGTATCTGATGAATATGTGTATTAAATACACACACACACACACACACACACAACACAAGCTCAGACACACACAGACATGGACACACACAGACACATACATACATACAAAGACAGACAGACACACATATATGTATACACTAATTCCACACAGGAGACAAAACATATATCTATATAGTCTGTAATGATTTAGGTACAGCTTCAGCATGCATCTCTTTTTGTGCTTTGTTTCAAAGAAAAATGATCCTTGTATGAGTCTGACATTGTAGAAAGTGCAGTAGCTGCATTTTGATATCTATTTGGCCATAGCTCATCCAACCAAAAAGCCTCCTTCACTTTCCTTACTTTTCTGTGTATTTGTCAGGAGGTGTCTTTCTATAATTCATGTAGAGATGTATTTGATTCTGAGACCAAAATGTAGTAGTCTTATAAAAAAAAGCCCAAAAATTGTTATTTGTTGATATATATACTTTAAAGTTTGCTTTTTTTGTCTCCACAGAACCTCCAGATCTGTTAGATAACAGTTTAGAGAATTTCATCCGGCTTATCATGGCTATCATCATCCTGTTGGGCCTTGGCGCTCTATTGCTGCATGCTTGGAAGAGCAGAAGAGAGCCCATGGAGCCTTCAGGAGCCCTAAGCTGAGAGCCTAGCTACCCCTTCCCAGATCTCATCTAATGCCGGTGCCAGGGACAGTTGTAAGCCTTGCCATATTGCCTGCCTGAGTTAAGTTTCTGTTCTCCAGCATTGAGCCACTAGCCAGAAACTTTTGACATGCCTGGACAAGTCCTGAGTTATTAGAAAATAACATTTCCTTGTCTTTCTGCTATACTGACCATTAGCAACAAGGTTTTTTGGTTGGGTTGCTTGGCAACTCAACATTCCTCTGATATTTCCCAAAGAAAGCTTCCTGGTCTGCTTACTATAAAACCTGCCTAAGAAAAATAAAAATATTCAGCTTGATCAGAATACTGTCTTGCTGTCAATTCTTTGTGTCTCTTGTCCCTTTTATTCACCATCCCCCCCTTCTAGGGTCTCTGCTGAAGATCTCGCTGACCAGGACAACTGGTGCCCAGCGTGAGGCTCAAGGATGTGGAGGAGCACTGAACGTCGTCACACACCATGGCAGGCCTGCCTAACAGTTGGACCACCATGGAAAACGGCTCCGCAACGAAGGTCCCATCAGTGATAGCCACAGAAACGCCCAGCCGTGAGTCAGATCCGGAGGAATTGCAACATAATGACACAAGGTAAGTTTACCACGGGACAAGCATTTAGTACACAGAATTTATTTATTTTGGGACTGAAACAGTCTCTCAGGACACGAGGAACTAGGGTCAAAAAGAAAGACTTAAAAAATTTCTTGACTATATTGGAGATGTCTTTCCTTGGTTACCCCAAGAAGGGACCATAGATGAAAAGCACTGGAGATGGGTTGGTGAGTGTTTAATTGATTTTTACCAGACCTTTGGTCCTGAAAAGGTCGAGGGTCAGCATGCATCTATGACCAAAGAGAGGGAGGCCCTCGTTGGCTCCCCAAGAGATTAGTTCAACAAGTCAACTCTAACCCATCACCCAGGGAAAAGGATAGCACCTGAGGTTGTTTCCCTTTCCCTCTCCTTCTTTACAGCTGCTGAAGAAAAAACTGGGAGAATTTCCCTGGCTATTCTGGATCTTGCAGCTGCCTGTTCCTTCTTATCAGGACCAGAGACCAGTCAACACATCCCCGTTTGCATGGTGCTTTTATTTGACCAAAAATTATACTAATTATGCCAAAAAGCAGACCTTTGGCCACCTGTTGGCTGCCTCTGACTGCCCCTTGCAAGGATGTCAGAATCCCATTTTACTCAACTTTACTGATTTCCATAATTCCCCTGGCAAGGTGGTCCCTGCTTTCTGTTTTTTTGTACGGTCAGACTGTCCACAACTGGAAACCTTACTTGAAGGAGAAAAGTGTAGGATGCCCCTATTCTTACTGCAAAATTCATGATGCCATTCCTCATGCTAAGGGACAGGTAATGGGAGAGAATGGAATGGCTCTAAATTTTATAAGACATCTACAGGATATTCCCTAATGGTTTGGGACCTGTGGGACTCACGATGGACTAATCCAGTAGAAGGAGCCATGCATATGGTCCGAACGGCCACATGGCCTAGCTCTAGACTCTGCATTTGACACACGTACAATCTATGGTCCAACATAATATACTTATACAAGAAAAAAATTTAATGGCACAACTATCTTGCTACTCCTCTCCATTTTCTTGGCTTTCCCTCCTCTGAGAAGGTCTGTTACTGGCATTGGGAATCTCTCATCATGGTTCCTAGTGCAGCCCTGGGACATCCTCCCCTGATAGCAGTACCCCTGCCTCGAGCCCTTAATTGCACCACCACTGATAATTCCCATGACTTCCACTCCAACCCTAAGTACCCTTGTTTCTTGACCCAGGCCGCTCCAAGTTTGATTTTTCCAGTGTTTCCCTTCCCTCTTGCATCCTTCACCCACCCACCCATCCTGCCTCCAGAGGCAGTTAACTTCCCTTGCACAGGTTGCCCTACAAAATCGACAGGCCTTGGACCTGCTGACAGCAGAAAAGGGTGGGACATGCATTTTTCTGAGGGAAGAATGTTGTTATTTTATTAATGAGTCTGGAATGGTAGAAACTCAGATAAATAAGCTACATAAACTTAGCCTAGAGCTCCATAAGCAGCAATTCTCTGCCGCAGCAGATGATTGATGGAGATCATCCATGTTCTCCCTTTTAATGCCTCTCACAGGACCATTAGTTTGCCTTTTGTTATTTGTATCTTTGGGTCCCTTTATAATTGGCAGGCTAATCC